TGTTTATGATATGCTTGTATAAAAGTTTGAAATAACGTGAAAATAACATGGCTTGAATTCCTAGAGATCCAGAAGTGGTAAATTGAAGCTGTCAAAACATATCTAACTTCTAATAAAAAGGGGAAAGAGAGTCTACTATTCATGCAATAGTAAATTAATCCAATTTTACTATGCACGATATCATTTTTTATTTTTCATTTTGTTTATGTCAAATAAATGTTCTTCCACACATCATGTCACTAGCATTAAAAGAATAATTATGTCAAACAAACGTTCTTCCACACATCATGCCACTAGCATTAAAAAAATAATAATAATTTTAGTAAATATAAACTTCCATGAGAAAAAAAAAGTCTCTTCGCACATGAAATTTAAAAAAAATAAAAATAAACTCTTCGCACAATGAGGAGAGATGGCAAACAATGTACGGAGTAAAAAATGAAGAAAAAACTCTCTCCACATAGTGCAGAGAGTTGGCAAACTCTTCGTATAGTGCGAAGTAAAAAAAAATATCTCCATACAATGCGGAGAGATGACAAATACCATGGCAAAACTTTCAGCATAATGCGGAGAGGTGGCATTCTGTGCGGACATAGTCCTCACAAAGTGCAGACTCTCCGTACAGTGCGAAGTAAAAAAAGAAAAAAACTTAGCACAGTGCGGAGAGTTGGCAAACTCTCCATACAGTGCGAAGCTAAAAAAAAAATACCTCTCTGCACAACGACTGTTACGTGCGTTGCACGAATTTTACATTTATCGTATTTTTATTAGTGTATGAATTTTAATTTTTTGAAAAGTTTTTGAAGTAACATCTAGAAATATTTCCATGATATAATAAAATAATTGAAAATTATTTTTACAATTGCATACAGTAGTGTGTCATCTAAAAAAATATACTTGTATATTTCATACTTGAATAAGAAATATACGATATTATACAAATTATTTTGCTTATATTCTTTGATAGTGCTGATATGATTGAGTTGAATGTGAAAATTATATTTCTAAATTTTGTGTAATTCAATATTGAAAAACTGAAGATTGAGCACCATAGTCATATTCATTTATATTTTGTGCTTCATATATATTTAATATTTATTTTATGCCTGTGTTGAAAAAATAAAAATTCGTATTTCTTTTGAAATTCGATTTGGTTATTTTTCTACACACGCATCATGCCAATAATATTTAAAAAAAAAAATCATAAACTCCATAAGAAAGAAAAAATTTCTGCAAAAAAGCAAAAAAAAAAAAAAAAGACTCCACAAAGTGCAGAGAAATGACAAACTATTTCTCCGCACAATGTGAAAAGAAAAACAAAAAGTCTTGGGGACTTTATCTGCAAGTTCCAAAAGGCATTTTCTCAAATAATTTTTGAACAATGCATTGAATACTTTAATTCCTGGCCTACAACCCAAAAGTATAATTTCATTGAAAATTGTATCCGCTTCTAACGTCCAAGAGCTGTTATCAACCAAGTGTAAAATATTGAATTTGGGTGGTACTTTAGAGCCTCTATTTGTGAAAGCAATGCCATGGTACTATCAATATCCCCTTCTTTGCACAACTCACATATTGTTTCATTGTATGAATTACGAGAAAGTTTATTTCCAATATCGTAAATATGATTTGTATGCTCAGAAATTGAGCGGTGACTGGAATTTAAAGAAGATATAATTGATTTTGAGCCAGTTTTCCGACTCTGTTTCGTTGTATATAAAAAAAATTTACAATCTTGAAATTTAACTTGTAATTAAGGAATTTGAAAAAACTCTCCGTACTGTGTGGAGAGTTTTTTCTCTCTTACTGTGCAGAGAGCTGGTTTGTCATATCTCCACACTGTGCGGAGAGTTTTTTAACTCTGCACTGTGCGAAGAGTTTGCCAACTCTCCGTACATGATTCAACTTTTTCTGCACTGTGCTGAGAGGTTTTTTTCTCTCCGCACTTTTTTTTACTTCGCATATGGTTCAACTTTCTACGTACTATGCGGAGAGTTTTTTCTCTCCGTACTGTGCGGAAAGTTTTGCCATGGTACGGACCAACTCTCCGCAATATGTGAAGAGATTAACTCTTTCCATATAGTGCGGAGAGTTTTTTTTGCTCTCCGTACCATGCGAAGAGTTGGTTTGTCATCTCTCCGTACTACTGTGCAGAGATTTTTTTTACTCCGCACTGTGCAAAGAGTTTGTCAACTCTCCACACACGGTTCAACTCTCTCCGCACTATGTGGAGAAGTTTTTTTCTCTCCGCACATTTTTTTACTTTTTATTTTTACTCCGCACTTGGTTCAATTCTCTCCGCACTGTGCGGCGAACTTTTTTTTCAATTTTGCAATATTGAATTACACAAAATTTAGAAATATAATCTTCACATTCAATTCAATCATATCAACACTATCAAATAATACAAGTAAAATAGTTTGTATACTTCTTATTCAAGCATGGAATATACAAGCATATTTTTTCTAGATAACATACTGCCATACAATTGTAAAAATAATTTACAATTATTTTCTTATATCATGAAAATATTTTTATATATTGATTCAAAAAAATTTCAAAAAAACTAAAATTCATACACTAATAAAAATACGATAAATACAAAATTCGTGTAACGCACGTGATAGCGACTAGTTAAAATAACAAAAATAGAGATAATTCTTCAAACCTTGGATTGACTAGTTTTTGGAAAAACAATGCTAAAGACATACCTTAAATATAATTGTAATAGACTTTTGATTGGGATTTTGATCCTATAAGTAGTTGAGCCGTGGAGAAAAAATTGGTATAGAAATTAATATCGTTGTAGTAAAAATCAATATTTAATTAAATGTTTCATTTTTTGCCCATGAAAAGTAGTTTCAACTTGCTCATATGACATATTTTATTTCCCTTCTCGTAAGTATTCCTGCTCTGGTAAAAAAAAAAAAGTTATGTTTAAGGCCTCATATTAATTAATCGCCTAAGGCTTCAATAAATTGTGAAAATATTTTATAATAATCGAACTAGTGACGATAAAGTGAAAAAGAAGAAAATAAATACAAACAAATCAAGATTTAAAACTGAAACAACCTTTAGGTTTAGTTTGTGAATTTTAAACAATTTAAAATGTCTTAATTTGAAAATTTATCAAAATTTGTTAAAATCGGACCACTTATATCCCTGGTCTCAAAATTTGGTACCCATAGTGCTATGAAAGGATTTCATCACAAATAAAGGGGGAAAGAAGAAAGAAAGAAAAGGAAGGGATAATATAATTTTGAACCCCACTTGACGTACAGGGGGAGCCTTCATAGGGTGTGTACAAGTTACACACAATAGGGTGTGACTAAATTAATTTTTGGCCATTTTTTATTCAAGTGGAACCCATTCTTTGTGAGAGATCTGGTTGGGTTCTGTGAACCTGACTTTTGTACACGAGGAAAATTTCTATAATTTTACTATTTAATGTTTTCGAGTCATGTGAATGCTACTTTATTTTTTCTATTTTATTTAAAAATTAGTTAAAAGTATTTCATAAAAGATTCTTCATTTTAAAATAATTCTTAAAAAAAAAATCAGGAAAATTGACACAGATGTCAATAATTCAGAAAAATAACAAAAATTTGTCCCTATTTGGAATGGGTTTTTAAAAGTAAAAAATGAGCTTTTGAAATCTAAAAGTAGCTTTTGAATCCGATTGGCTAATTTTATGAAATTTTTCTTCTAATTAGAAGAGTTTTCAGAGGAAGTTGATTAAATATGACTTCATTTAAAAGAACTTCTGGAATAGAAAGCTCTATTAAAAATTAATTTTTAAATAAAAATTAAGATAACTTCTATCAAAAACTCTTTTAAGGAAGTAAAAGTCTTGCCAAACGGACCCTTTAAAGATATATACCGTTATCATTTTAGGAGGGTTTCCTCAACTAACCTTTAATGGATTTCTTAAAATTTATAAATTTCCACCAATTTCATTGATTTGAATAGAGTTTCACATAATTCATAAGATATAACAAAATAACATTTTCTAGATTTTAATTAATTTAACATTTTTCATGTCTCAATGAAAGCATAAAGTTTCTTATGCATTTTCGCTCATTACAACTACTTGTGGGATTCATTTGTTCCACATGTTGATTTGGTTGTTGTAGCCCGATCCTAAGCAATAGTAGGCATTTCCATTTTTGTTGAGCCCAATAAATGGTTGTGTAGTTGTTAAGTTTCTCATCATAGCAATTTGAAGTTTTCAAACCATTTTTTATATTGAATCTTTTGTGCTTGTTTGATAGGGATTTTGTTAATTGATTTTTTAACCGTTAGAAATAAAGTGAGTCCTATCCGTGAGAGAAGAATTCAAAAATGACAACTGAAATAGTGAAATAACGATAAAAAATTGATTTTAATTGACTTAAAATATGTACCAAAAAAGCACAAAATAAAGTATGATACAATGATATGTTAATATCAAAATCCTCCAAACATTCCATGCCAACTATACAAACATCAACGCCAATATGCACGATGATATACATAATATTGCTTGATCACCACACAAAGGGAACGTGATGGTTGAAGGTCATCTCGTACTTAACATAGGTGGTGTTGTGTGGAAGAAATTGTACACAACTCTGGTTAATTCATCCGTTCTTGTGATAGATCATAAAATTGCACTAGTAGTCAAGGGCGTACTATAGTTTGTCATATCGTAAATAATTGAACTACTGTATATCCACGTTGGAGCGATGGTTCAAAAAAAATATGCGATTTACTATTGATATAAAATAAACAAATAAAGATTAGACAAAATTGACACTCGATTCAATACAGATTGATCTATCTTCACTATCATGCTTTGGTTTGATTAGAGTATTTTTTTTTGGCTGATTTAATGAGCTTTTTGTTAAAAACAGTGAAACTTCATTAAATAACCATTTTAGGATTGGAAATATCTAACGCATATGATTTAAAGGTAGAGGGAAATTGACAAAAACTGAAAAACTCAAAAAAAAGTTCCCACCTTTCCCCAATTTGCTCTCTTTTCAAGTCCCCGCCAAACACCTCCCTATATTTCGCCACCCTAATCCCCCACGCACCCCAACCCCCCTATTTAAACAGGGCAGTCTCCTCGCCGACTGAGCCATTCATTCCCATTTCACTTTACTTTTTGCACAATCTCCAGTCTTCCGCTGGGTAGCGGCAATCACCAATGGCCAACGTCAGTGACCTCCCCTGCGACGCCGATGGAGTCTGCATGGTGTGCAAGAAGAAGGCACCTGATGGCGAGATCCTCACCTGCAAAACGTGTGTCACTCCCTGGCACAGCACTTGCCTCTCCATCCCTCTGAAAACCCTAGCCGATGCTGCCCAGTGGGAGTGTCCAGACTGCTCCTTTACCGCCAATCCACCGGGTGGTGCCGCCGTCAAGTTGTCGATCTCCGGCGGAGACCTGGTGGAGAAGATCCGGGCGATCGAGTCCAACCCGACGCTGACTGATCGCGAGAAGGCCAAGCAACGCCAGGAGCTACTGAGCGGAGAAGCTATATCAGCGTCTCCGGAGGTCCCTAATCAAGATCAAAAGAAGTCCAATGGCGGGACTAACGAGGGTTTAGCCATTCTTGGGGACAAGCTCAACTGCTCCATCTGCATGCAGCTTCTCGATAGACCTGTCTCTGTATGATTTCTCTCTCTACGAATTCACCTTTTTGTGCGATCACGTTTGTCTTGGTGTTTGTATAGTTATATATGATCCAGAAAACTTATTACTTTCTGCATATCGCTTGACTTTGATGTGGAGAATATGCTGAACTTTTGAGCAGAATGTATTTTAAAATTGTACTCGGAGTTGACCATGATGTGTCTTCAGACGATGTTAGTCAACTGGAATTTTTTTTCCTTTTGCATTTTTCTATTTCATGGAAATGGGTTTCTATTTTTCCAGTTTCCATCTGTATCAAAGATTTTTAATTTGGAATTAGGCATTTGTAAGTGATCATCAAATGGGAAAAAAAAAAAATGCAAACGAGTTGAGTTCTCATAATACTTGTTTGGTCACAATCTTAGGATTTTGGAATTGGAGTGTAATTTAGAGTGAGAGCAGTGGAGAAGTCCTTGTTTCACAATGGTACAGTGACTTTCTCTTTAAGTGAAGAGTTTTGTATCTAATTGTGATAACTTGTAATTTGATTACTGTCATCATAAACGTGATGCTTAAATTAAGCTGACTATTGATGAATTTATATCTGCAATTTTGCATGCCTCAATTTGGATAACATTGGATATCTTGAAGAATTATGTTCATGGAAATTTCCTGTATTTTACTGCATTCGTTTACTTCTTTGTTTCTACTTTGGGACTATAATGATTTTTATTGAATGGTCTTTTGACATTAATGTTCATTGCTGAATATAGTTGTAACATTCATAATTAGCTTTACAACCTGTTTAGACTTAGATTAAAGCAAGTCACTTAATTTCCATAATGATTTTTATTCAATGGTCATTTGACATTAATAGCCATTGCTGAATATAGTTGTAACATTCATAATTAGCTTTACAACCTGTTTAGGCTTAGATTAAAGCAAGTCACTTAATATAAGACCATGTGTAGCAATCTTTCCCACTTTTTTTGCACTTTTACTGAAGTAACTGAATTGGTCCCATTGCTTATGTACTTGTATTGAAGATTCTTGAACGAATGTAAAGGGTCACATGAAAAATTGATTCAGAAAAATTCCATCTTAATGCTTGCTAGAATTGATTGTTTCATCCATTCCTACACAAACTACTGCAATTCTTTTTGTTTCCTGTAAGCCGAAAATATCTTTTGTGACAATTGTCTGATGAGGACAATATCGAGTGTTTCAACATTGGTTTTATTCATATTCCATAGATATAAAGGATGACTTGTCTCCAGGAAGTAAATATGATTGTCATACTAAGGCACATGGACAAGACACCTGGTTCTCATGTGAACCAAGTCCTCTAGTCTTTTATTAGTCACAAGTAATCAGGCTTCTGTTGTGCATGTCTCTGTTTCAGGAAATTCTGATTCATCCCGCTAATTCATAGTGGATTTAAGATTGCTGCACCACATCCTCTTTAGCTGAGTAAATGCTCATTATGGTTTTGATTTCTAGATGAGATTTATAATGAAAATGTCCAATAAATGATAGAGCATGTTTTATGCCTCTGAGATATTAGTTAGAGGTCATTAAATGTTAACCTAGTCATTGATAATTGAATGGATGAATTTGACTGTTTTGTAAATAAATTTAGAATTTTCTCACTGAAGAAAGAGTTCAAAATATTTAAACTGGTTTTTAGAGAATGGAATTAACATAGCTTTCTCATTTCTTGCTTTAGACACCATGTGGCCACAATTTTTGTTTGAAGTGCTTCCAGAAGTGGGTAGGTCAGGGGAAGCTCACTTGTGCCATTTGTCGCAAGGTGATTCCATCAAAGATGGCAAGGGAGCCCCGTATAAACTCTGCTATTGTTATGGCCATTCGAAATGCCAAAATGTCCCAGTCTAATGTTTCAGGGGGTGTTCCAAGGGTCAACCATTTTGTTCACAACAAAGATCGACCAGATAAAGCATACACCACTGAGCGAGCAAAAAAATCTGGAAAGGCTAATGCCTGCAGTGGAAAGATTTTTGTTACAGTTCCTCTTGATCATTTTGGTCCAATTACAGCAGAGCATGATCCAGAAAGAAATTTGGGCGTGTTGGTTGGTGAGACCTGGGAGGATAGGATGGAATGCAGGCAGTGGGGGGCTCACTTTACCCACGTTGCTGGGATTGCTGGGCAGTCAGAGTATGGAGCGCAATCTGTTGCACTATCAGGGGGTTATGAAGATGACGAGGACCATGGCGAATGGTTTCTTTATACTGGAAGGTATATGATAATACTGTCACTATGTGCTGTTCTGTGTTTTGAGTAATCTTCTAACCAAATTTTCTGTGTTTCACCTGGTTTTATTGCTCCTGGATGTAGACCAATATGACTGAACCATGTGAACTTTTTGGTCTTTTGTTTCATCTTTATGTTTTCACTTTAGCATCGATGAATATTACTTAGATTTCGTGGAACTGATGTAGCTAACTATTTCTGTGTCGATGTGTTCTGAATACTTTCCATATTGGTGACAGACGATTTTGGCTGATTGGTATGCTTTCCAGTGTCCGTATCATTTGGGAACTGTGGATTTACCTGGAAAAGTTCACACTAATTTTTATCTTGCTAATTCTTTTATATGGTTGGAGTGTCATTGAATTTGTCTCCAATGAGGAGCAATATTGATGATGTTCAATGACCCATTTGAGTTGCTTTTCAACGACACCAAACTTGTTTTTCCTGCCATGGAAAGTCACTGCAAATGCACCTGAAGTTAAATCAACATGTTATTAATTGCTAACAATGTGCATTCATGGCTGTCTATACGTTCACCAAATTTGTTCATTGATTCATTACAGTTTTTCAATCTGGACAAATCCGGCTGGATATTTATATGACTCTCTTTTTAATTTTTTTCTTAATTGCTGGTGGCAGTGGTGGAAGAGACCTTAGTGGGAATAAAAGGACGAACAAGAAACAATCATTCGACCAGAAGTTTGATAAAAGCAATGAAGCCTTACGAGTTAGTTGCAAAAATGGTTATCCTGTCCGAGTTGTAAGGTATTCTGATATTTCTATTTGAAAAGCAGTTAAGAATATAAATGAATGTCATGATGTAGTTTCACCCTATATATTAATAACTGATCAAAGAAAAGTACATTTTCATAATTTACTAAAATGTATGGGTTTGCTCATCATATGGTGTTTGTTTTATGAAATCTATTTATGAGAGCAAATGAATGTTGGTGATATGACATTGACTAGGTTCCATCTCATGTTCTCATGTCCATGTGTGCTTTGCCATATATGATGCTTAATATAATGATTACATTTATTGGCTTGGAAAACGATATATATTTAAAAGGGAAAGAGAATGTCAGACTATTCTTCTATTTTTTTCCAATGCAGCTTTTTATTTTGCACGTTGATCGGATAATAGAAAATTGAACTAATATTTCCTCTTCTAGAATTAGGTCTAGCATTATTTTAATTGTTTGTGAATTACTCCATTTGTTTATCTTAGGTTTTCGTTAAAACCTTTATATGCTCCCAGTTATGGTCGGACAACACTTGACTATATGTCCTACAGTGAAATACTCAATTAGTGCCTCCATTACTTGGTTAATGTATTTTGTAAGTTGTTTTTTGGCAATCGATTTCAACAAAGATATCACTTGGTGGTTTAGAAAATTAGTCTTTCCCTTTTTTGTTTCGTATTTCCCGTCCTTAATGCTATACTTAATCTTTTTTTGATGGTTAATATTTTTTTGATGGGCAGGTCTCATAAGGAGAAACGTTCTTCTTATGCGCCACAGGAAGGTGTACGTTATGATGGGATATATAGGATTGAAAAATGTTGGCGAAAGTCTGGAATTCAAGTAGGAATTTGCTTCTGAAAGAATTTTAGTCACCTTTTGCTTTTGTGCTCAATATGTTCAGACTGCTTCCCTTTCACTTGATATAGGGATTTAAGGTGTGTCGTTATCTGTTCGTACGTTGTGATAATGATCCTGCACCATGGACAAGGTTTAGTATTTCTAGCATTGCACCATCATCCACCTCCCATATGCACCTTTTTTTACATGCTTAGTTTATAATTTCTTATTATTTTCTCCAGTGACAATAATGGTGATTGCCCAAGAGAGCTGCCAACTGTTGAGGAATTAAAGCATGCTACTGACATTACAGAGAGAAAAAAGAGTCCTGCCTGGGATTTCGATGTCAGAAGCTATATTCTTAACTTATGGTTTATCTTTACCAATTTCCTTATATTGTGTGGTGACATCTTCATAAAACTGTAATCCCGTGGCCTTTCAGATCTGTTTAATTCCTTGTATGTTGAGATGCTGCTTCATGAGTGATTAATTTTTCTAGCAATCTCAGCTGTCTACTTTTTGCAATACACAGGAGGGACAGGGTCGTTGGATTTGGAAAAAACCTGCACCAGAAAGTCGTAAAGTTTCTGATGTTTATGATGAGGAAGGTAAGAGCAAAAAGAGAGCAAGACGTCAAAAAGGAAACGAGTCAGTTAAAGAAAGGCTTTTGAAAGGTATTCATCTTGTTACCTATGCATTTCTTTGGACTTGCAGAAGCTATCCCATGGGGAGGTTTCTGAATTGCACCATGGGTGAATATGGCTTCATAATCTTTATGTATACATACGAGGCCATATGTTTCTCAAGTCTGCAACTCATGATACAGAATTTGGCTGCCTCATCTGCCGGAAAGTAATGGTGCTTCCACTTACAACTCCCTGTGCTCATAACTTTTGCAAGGGGTGCTTAGAGAATGCCTTTGCTGGCCAATCTTTCATTAAGCAAAGGACATGTGGAGGTACGAGAACCCTCCGAGCACAAAAAAATGTTATGAAATGCCCATCCTGCTCAAATGATGTATCCGATTTCCTTCAGAATCCCCAGGTACAAATGGCCAAAAAATTTTCTCATGTAAATTTTGAGGTTTTGCTATTAAGTAGAACACCTTATGCATGCAAGGAACATATTGTTCCCCCAGTTTTTCTTGAGTGATGAATACTAGCAAATTACAGTTGACTGTCCGTGCAATTGGGGTCATGCATTTTGAATCATTTGTGGAAGGAATATTTGTTTTGAGATGTGTGAATCAGAAACGGGCACTCACCAAAATATGATTCTGCAACAGGTCAATAGAGAGTTGATGAATTTGATTGAATCACTACAGAGCCAGATGAAGGAGGAAAACATGGGATCTGAAGACATTGATGATGGTGCAGATGAGGAAGATGATGATTTGTGTGATGAAACTGATGCATGTATAGAAGTGAACATGGGGGAAGAAATTGATGGCTCAGATGGAAAATCAAACATTGGTGCTGAAAATAAGAACTGTGATGCAAGTGCAGAAATTCTAATGGAAGAGAATGATGAGAAAGAAGTCAGTAAACCTTTGACCGACACCAACCCCCAGTCACCTATCGGAAAGGAAGCCCTAGACAGGCATGATGCTGTGAGTGATGGCCAAGAAGCTGATGTTGCCAGAGGTGAAATGCCCAAAAGAAGAAACAAGCGAAAGAGTGCTGCTGGTGAAGAGACTTGCACTTTGGCTCCCAACATGGGCAAGAGGAGAGGAGCCAACAAGGCTTAAACAAAAATTGATCACATGTTCTGCTATCTCATTCTCCCACCCGTCTTTTTCTTCATTACAACCTCCCCCATTTTTCTGATGACTTGTTGGACTCGTGTCAAGTTCTGTTGAGCACGTGAGGAGGGTTTTGGGCATACACAAGTTCTTTTTGGCAGGATTAAGGTTTAAACTGACTTTTTGGTACTATAGTTGTCTATAGGGGATGTACTGCCCATCTTTAATTGCCTATGGATTATGATGTTAATAGGATTTTAAAAATGCAGTATACAGATGCTGTTCGCTTTTGAATTACCAGTTTATGTGGAAATCTTTGTTTTTATGCCAATAGCATGCAAGTTGGAAGCATGTTGTACCAACTCTTTGAAATTATTCCTAGCACACCTGATTGCTTGCATTTTTGGGTGCTGTTTTAGTTTCTTTTCAGGTGTACTACCTGTTATGGTTATGTGACATTCTGGACATGATACATCCGTGCATTTGTTCAATATTGACAACGATTAGCCATGCCATGTATCAAGAAGGTACGCCCATCTATATGGAATATTTCATCTTTTGTTTACAGAAAACAGCTCTGCTGATAACATATAAGGATGTCTGCGAGTCATTTGTACCGCACCATTCTGATAGTCCACATGAATATCAAATTCAAAGAAACATAATGTAGTTCTTGCCTGCCTTCAACCAGAAAATTTCCTACTCGTTTAGTTTCGCAGTTAGGATTGGACCTAGTTTGGTTCAATTCAGTTTTAAAGAGAATCAAATCAAATTGAATCAGAATTTTTGAGTATTTAGTAAGTGGAATTGTTGAGTCTATATTTAATTATTGAACCAAATTTCGGATTGATTTGATTTCATTTCATTTGGTTACATACCATAATTTATTTATTTATTATTATTTTTTTAAATTTACTATGCTACATTAATCCAACTTGAAAGTTTAGATTATCGATTTTCTAAAACCCAGAGTGTGGAAATAATCAACTGAAAGCAATAAGTCAGTTTTTAATTGTTTTAGATTATTAGATCAAATGAGTCACTTTATCCTATATTTGAATATAACATTTTGCAGTTGTACAAACATGGTCGACAACTATTTGTTGTCAAAATTCGAGCATTTGATGTAAAAAATGATTTTTAAAATGGATGAATGAGATGTTGTCAAGTAGGATATTGTCAATAATGGATGTACATGTAGCTTGACTTTTTGTAAATTGCGTAAAGATAAAGTCTGGACACTTTTCTTGTTAACAATTCATTATAAACAATGAGGTTTACAGTACTGTTCAAATTCGACTAACCTTGACTGTTCAAATTCGACTAACCTTTCTGACATTCTTTTTGTAATAACCTTGGCCATTCTGAACTACATGCTCCTCATGCTAGCTCTTGATCCTTGGTACCATTTTATCCCTTGTGAACCTTGTTCTTTAGTGTTGAAATTTCAAGCACCTCTTTCCAAAACTATAGTAATTTTGTAGGCTAATTGGCGAAAGTAAGTTTGGGTGTTTGATTAAAGATCTTGTGTGTTTTGATCTATGGTTTAATGTGAAGGTTTATATCTCAATCAACAAATCTAAATTTGGAGGAATCTATGAATAAAAAAATATAGGGTTGAATTTTGAAATCAATGAATGTGATATGGATCTTCATATGAATGATCTTTATGGAATAGCTACGATTTAACACACTTTTGAACGTTCATGGAGTAGGATATATAGGGGAAAGTGTTTGGGATTAGAAGGGGTTCAAAATCAAAATTTTGAAACAAAATAGGATTGTTGGATGTCGACCGTCTTTTAGCTCTAGGCGAGCGGCAGCTTAGCAATCATTTGTATTTTCATTATAATTTTTTTTTCCGATATCAAATTGAGGTGATTCAAAGTGTGTTGAAAAGATTACTTGAAGGGCTATAATTTTTCTAAGTGGCATTCTCCAAATTCGATATTTTTCTAAGTGAAAAATGCGTTGCAAGTTGCGACTTACAATTTGGAGTATAATTTGTGCTGCTTTTTGATACTCTTTAAACTTCTAATTGCATTCCATTGATTATGTGTGATCTTCTCCGACATTTTGGACTCCTTCAAGACTTGTACTACCAATTCCAATTCTTTTGGCTTTAATTACAACTTAAGTTTTACTCAACTAATCTACATTTTGGATACAGAGAAAGCCAATTACAATTAGGACTCTTAACACAACTAATGACATATTCAATATGGAAGGCATACTAAAACAAAAGTGAAACTATTCAGTCGAAAAAAAGCTAAAAATAAAGAACATGGCATGAAAGGTAGCTATTGGGAAAAAGGAAAGCGCACAAATGCGTAAACTCACAGTAAACATTTTGAATACTAGTTATAAATTATAACGTTTATATATTGAGTCGTGAGAAATTATAAGAAACGTATGAGAGGAAGCTTAACTTGATCAAAGTGGAGGACGTTTAATAAATTGGATCAAAAAAAGGTAAGATAAAGAGAAGTGCAGCCGCTCAACTTCAATTATTTGAAAAATTGCATAATGAATGAGAAAAAACTTAGGTCACTCAATTTTTATTTTTGAAAATTTGGGCTTCGACTAAACACAAAAAAAAAATGATATTTTGGGCTTAATTTATTGGCAAATAAAATAGGAAAATGATATTTTTGAGCTCAACTAATTAGTTACCATATTTATTTAGAAAAAAAATTAAAACGGTTTGGCTTATTTAATTAAAAAATTTAAAAATTCAGACAAATTCGATTCTTCGATTTTTGGTCTAGAATCGAGAATCGAACAAAATTCGTCGGTTCTCGATTTTGATATCAGTTTGAATATTTAACTTCGCTTGGTTCAAATCAGTTTGGTTTGGTTTGACTCGGATCCGGTTCGATTGGAAATTTTGTTCAGCCCTAATTTGCCTTTCAAGATTCTCAATTGGTGATCTCTTCAGGCTAAATGATAAAAATAAAGACTGATTTATCTCCAATGTCATCCTGTAAAATGAACAAAATCATATCATACAGTGGCATGTGAAAAAACTAACCAAAATGTAATATATATCAAGCAGATAATTTTGATGTGTAAGGTTAACCATAATCCAGCGAACACTAGAAAGAGTGCCATCCACACGCCCAAAAAGCACTTTTGCTCCATCCACTAGGCCAGTCTGTGCCATTACTTGAAGGGGTTTAGCATATTGCAATTTCTAGCATTAAAAGGCAATGCAATTGTTAGGAATAAATGAGAATTGATGATAATAAAATTAAGAATAAGAACGCAAGATATACGTAAAAATCCAATTTTGGAAAAAACCTTCGGATAGAGGAGGAAAAATTCACTATAAGAAATATTAAAGATTACAAAGTTTGCAGGATGATTTTTCAAAAGATTTACCCCTCATATATATAGTACACAGAAGTGCCTAACATAAGATATAGTTCTAATACAATAGGCCTAACAAATAATGGAGCATTTGAAGTAGAATAGGAGTGTAAAAACTGCCAAAATAGCTAACAAATTTCTCCCAAATAATACCATTGCTCGAGCGAGCCTCACATTCAGCAAGCGGTAGCACGGCCGCTTACGTGCCTATGGCGCGATCAACAATTGGTCAAGTTACTGAAAAAGAAGCTAGAGTGCACATGGTGCGGATGGCGAGCGATCTTCACGTGAATAAAACTCCTTTTCCATCTTTGACTTCTTCAAGGCACACTACCAACTGCCAATAGAACTCCTGATAGAATTCAAGTCATAACCGAATTCTAACAAATCTCCACCTGACACGAGCCTTAGATCCAAACACATGCTGCTTCATCTTCTCTTTTAAAAATAAAGTATCAAAGTATTATGTTTTATTTATGGTGAGAGTATCACGATTATACAAAATAATATCTCTGAAAGACATATATGAAGAAGGCAGCAAATGCAACAATAAATATTTTTCATCATACTTGACCTTTGAGATAGGGCCTTTCGATCTTTAAGTTGTTTCTTTACAACATTCAAATTGATGACATCTTATCAAGTCTTAACAAGGCATCATTCAAATCCATTTGAGCAAGCACAACTCGCATCTTTACTTGTCATAATAAAAATCTATTGTTGTGATCCGAAAACGAAATTTCATACTCCACACTTGCCATGCGAAAAATCAAACCTCGCTCCGATATTAGTTTGTTAGGAATAAACGAGACCCGACAATACAAAAAATAAGAGAAGAAATAAAATTTACATGAAAACTTAATTTGAAAAAAATCACGGACATATGAGAAGAAATTCTCTATAACAAATTCGGAGGATTACAAAGTGTGTAGGATGATTTTTGTCAAGAGGTTTTCTCCTCATATATATATATATATATATATATATATATATAGAGGCAGAGTCCTAATATAATAATGGAATGTTTGAGGTTGTGTGAGAGTATAAAAACTGCCAAGATCTCGAACATATTTCACCTAGATTATACCACCGCTTGAGCGTGGCCTTGCGTTCACCAAGCGGTAGCACGACCGCTCGAGTACCCATGGCTCGGCCAATAAGTGGTCAAGTTACCGAGAAAAGACATTCGAGCACCCACGATGCAGATGGTGAGTGGTCTTCAAGCAAACAATACTCCTTGTTCATCTTTGATTTCTTCAAGACTTTTTCAATGTATACTATCAACTTGTAACTCCTCAAAAATTTTATAAAATAAGATTTATATGTTTTATATACTATATTTTTATATTTAGAAATTGAGAGACTAAAGTGAAATACGTTTCAACATCGTTACTTTTTTCGGTAGAATAATCAAGCATTAATTTAATGAGAATTTCCCTATCAAAATTAGACTAGTTTTGAAACTCATATTAAATGGCGAATTTTAGACTAGAGAAAAAATTATTTTGGATATATTAGGCTCTCGTTTTCGTAGCTCAAAGAAATACATATTTGACTAATATTTAATTTGGCGTGTTCACAGGTTGGCCACCACGTGTTAGTAGACATAACAATTGAAGTTTTGATTTAATTTAAAATGTTTTGAATTATTAATTTGCCTTCCATTTAAATTCTATGCAAAACCTAGTCAACCATTTGCACTTTCATCACGTGAAATTATTCCACAATTGGGGACCGTAAATTAAGAAAATTTCACTACCATAAAGGTAACCACCAATTTTTCAGTAATGAGATGCTAATTTTCAGTAATGGGATTGACAAACATTTTTGGCAGACCAAATCATTCAGCACCTAATCTGAAAAGACATAGTCACGTTTCCTTTTCTTTTCTTTTCTTTTTTCTTCACAAGAAATTGTATATGTAATTTACTACCTCATTCACGCTTGGGGAATTAAAAGAAAGGAGAGACCATTTTCAGATTCAATATTTGAAGTTTTTTATGATATATTTTACTATATCAATCACGCGTATACACACGATAGCAGTAGAGAAAAATTGTAGAACGTGAAAATTATTTAAATCCTTTTCATCAATCAAGGTAGGATTTCGAGGTGCAAGTGATTAGTCCCGTTTAAATTTATTTCTTTATGTTGATGAATATTATACTCATGAAAGTTATAATACGATATGATTATGATATGACCATCCAATACCAAATATATGATATGTATTGAGCTCTACCGGTTTCTAAGATATGATATGACAATATAATATCTCTGATGCATGATCTAAATACTTTTATTTGGGATTGCGCTGTTATTCGTGTCCTATTGAGTATTCTCATATACTCACAATTTTCCCTACTTTTACAGATTTGAATGGGTCGTTGGTTGGTGGGCGATGAGGTGTAGTCGTTGTTACCAGGATATTTAGAATTAAATTATTAAATCCAGTGTAACGTGGCAAAACTTTTTGATTCCAACATTTTATTTTCTTGTTAATAAATGTGCTATACATGATTTTTGTGTTAATTTGGATATATTTTATTTTAGCTATGAGATTCTCCTATAAATTAGTACGTGTTCGTCAATTTAACGTACTTGACTATTAAAATAAATGATTTTGGTAACAGTTTAAATCTTAAAAATTTGGATCGTTACACAACTCCTAATAGATCTCTCAATAGAATTCAGATCACAATCGAACTCTAACAGCAATAATAAATTCCAAATTGAGACAAACCAGACAGCCATTGTACTAAACTCTTCTCTTCCCCAGTGGTTGAGCAAGAGTTACATATGTTTGAGCCTGAAGTGCCCGCTAAATTCCAGTATGTGAATTAACTTAGCAACATTTGATTTGTTTATGGGGAACTTGTGGATAATCATAACACCAACTTCAGCGTACATTTGATTGAGGGACACAAAAATAAGTAATATCGTCTTTATAAAAGGGTTCCAGTTTCTATTCGCCAATGTTTACCGAACTTATTTTTTTAAATCCTATTATATTATTCCTATTCCTATTCCTATTCCCATCCAATATAGCAAGGTTTTTTCATGTTAAATATACGTACATTATCAAATTTGCAAATTGAAAATTTCCAACTTAAGCATTGTATTCAATTAGGATAGGATTTAGCTTAAATTGGTGATGCAGCCAAGGCCAAAAATATAATATTATTTCCCATTCAAGAATTAAATGGCTTTATGGATCAACTTAATTGGGCACGGACTACATAACATAATAAATCCAACCAAATATGTTCATTTCAATTCTTCAATTATTTGTTTTATAAAAATGAATGGGAAACTTGAATAAATAGCACTTAAAGATGGCATCTACTTCATTTTAACACTCCTTTTCCAGACTTCCGATTGTAGCACTACCTTATGTAGATTACATACCATAATAAATCCACATATCTTTGTGCAGACTAAAATTTTATGTGCACTGGTTATGAATTGATTGAAAGATAATGATAAAATAAAATAAGCAAGATCAACATAAGAACACTAAGATTTATGTGGAAATCCAATATGGGAAAAAACCAAGATTTATGTGGAAATCCAATATGGGAAAAAACCACAAGTAGAGAAAGAGAAATCCACTATAATAAATAGTAATTATGTTTACAACAACATCTTAATACTCTTAACTAAGATCTAAAACTCTCAAAATGTTGTATGAATGTTATGAAAACAATACAAGCCTAGAAATCGAGTTATAGATGAAAATGAATCCAAAAAAGTGTCAAAACGTGAAACGGACCTGGGACAGATAACCCTATCGCTCGAGCACTAGGCGGGCAACAAATCTCTATAGAAAATATGTAGGTGCCGCTCAAGCATCCAACTAGCGACAAGCTAAAAAAATGCGGCGAATTTTCTTCCCGATCGATAATTTTGATCTCTTCAAGATCACTTCAACTAAAACTCCAATACCCACTAAAATTTGGGTTAAATTACAATAGCATTTATTTATTAACACACAAACCAGTCCAAGTCCAATTTCAATTAGGCCACAATAGGTATAATTATAAATGCAGTCCTTGAATTTTAAGTAAATTGTAATCAAGTTCAGAACTTTCATAGTAATTACACTTAATTTAAATTTTACTAAGCTATTATAAGGACCCGTTCGACGATATATTATCCAAACTTCAATAATAAGATCATGTCTAGTCGATTCTAGGCCTTCCAATCTAATTATTAATCTTTGTTTCTCTTACCAAAGATAAAAGATTGTACTCTCAGAATATTTGATATTTACAAAAGTTAATATATATATTTCTAATACTTTACTCCGACCTGTTGTATATGTATTTCATCCCATCCGAGATTTGATAATTAGGTACGAGAACAAATGTCGAAACTTAGCAATTGTTAAACAATTAGATCAAATTTATAATCTTTCGATATAAAATACTTAAGTAATCGCTCAACTCATTTTTCGGGGTTCATGATACGAATTCGTGTTCTTTACTTTGCTCATTCTTAAATTTTCAACTTATTGAGATATTTGATCAATCAAATTAGTTTCAACCACTAGTAAATCAAAGAACTATTAAACTCAATACAAAGATATTCACAATTCACTTTTGTATTTAGATGAAACATCAACGATCAACTGAAGTTTAAATCTCCTATCTGATTCTATAGAATTAATCATCACACACAATTCTTTCAATATACTTCAAGTATACTATTTATTTAAACTTTTTTTTGCCATAAGAACAAATCTCAATCCCAAATAGTTATCAGTCAACACTGCAACCTTTCAGTTTAAGGTGTCAACCTTTATGCATTGATTGTGAACAATTTTATGTATAATCAAAATGTAAGTAAAGCGTTTTTTTCCCATGCAAGCACTCAACTTATATTGTTACAAGTGATCATTGTTACTCTTAATATCAAATAATGCAATAACAATAAATAAATAAAAACAAAGTTTATTTATTAACAAAATGGATGATTGCAGCAGAGACCCCAAACCTTTCAAAAAGTTGCAGACTGTCCTCTAACCTTTCATTTGTTGCAGTTGTCACCCAAAACCTTTCAAAACATTGCAGCAGGGGCTCTTTTGGACGATATTCATCAAATGACTATTAGTTGATTGAGAAATTGGACTTTGACCATAGTTTTAATATTTTTAGAGGGTAAAATAGTAACTTTCCATTTACTATATTAAAATAAGTCAAAAATTAATTAGAAAAGAAAATTCCTACTTTTTGTCTCTCTCCCTTCCCCACCCCCAAACCCACACCCAACTAAGTAAAAACTCCTCCCAAATGACGTTGTTAAGATGTCATCGACGTCGAAGGTAAATACAAATCGGAGGAAGATCATGTCAATGACGAGGTACCCACAAAGACATGAACATCAACAACTACGTTTATTCTTTAGATTTTCAGCCTGCATTAATGTAATTTTCTATTCAAGAAACTTGCCCTAGAATTGAATCCGAGAGTCACGACAGCAATTTTTACAGTTTAAACCGCCATCAAAATCCCAGAAAGAAGCACCCCAATGTACAACTCAGGATGATAAAGAATTGGAGTTTCAAACCCCTTCGGTGTATAAAGCCCCATCATCCTTTGAGGACCAATATGTGTGTTAGATTTCGTGTTGGCTATTCTATGAACAAAATGGTAAAATTGTAAATGCTCAAAAGTTTGGGGTCAATTTTTCAATTTTTAAAGGTTAGGGGTCATTTTGTACATGTGTAAAAGATGATGGACTAAGTTGCAATTTTGTCAAAGTATGCTAGAGTTCGAGCTATGAAGTAGGGCAAGATGTGTCGTTGAAGTTTCGCTAGCTGCTCACCAAGTGGTCACTCGAGAGCCAAAAATAAAAAGGTCGTTGCTCACTTCTTGCCCCCACTTCGCTCGAGCGAAATAGCGTCGCTCGCTTTTTGCTCGCTTTTCACTCGAGCGATGGTGTTACCCATAAAACTCTATTTTCATTTTTTCGACATTTTAACCCGACCCAAATGTCCAAATACACTTCATATAAATAAAATTGCGCCGGTTTTCAGACGTTCTCTTAAGGATTGAAATTGAAGAAAACTCTCCACACTTTGATTCTCTCATTCAATCCCATATTTGATTTGCCCAATCACTCAAAAACATCAAATCAACATTCATCAAACACCACAACACAACCTTCCAGAGCTTTTGTTGATTCTTGGAGATCGAAGAAGGAGATCGAAGTCCCGATCGTTAGAGAACAGGTGGTTCTCTTGAATCCACAGGAGATAGACGAAATCAAGAGCTAGGAATCGGTGTAGCATGCAATCCAGGAGCGCTAGGAGTTGGGAGTTGGTGCAGGATCACACATTCTAGGAAGGCTTTGAGGAAATTATAGTCAGGAGATCAGAAAAACCAGTGTGGGTTGAGTCTGGCAGATTGTAAGTTGTATTTTCGTTTGTAGTGGATTCCTACTGGCTTGGGCCCGGAGTTTTACCCACATTGGTGTTTTTCCGTCATCAAACAATTACGTTATTTACTTTTCTGCAATTAATTTATTACCGGTATTCAAACATAGGATAGTAAAGCATGTGAACTAATCTGGACAAATTAATATTTGTGACATGTTGCAATTATTGATTGATTGAAAAAGAAAATTCTGCATAAACACCTATTCACCCCCCTCTAGGTGTTAATTGTGTCGAACTACGATATTTCAAATGGTATCAGAGCCAAATCTCGAGTCCTAACCCATAGTTGTCTAGATGAGTCAATCGCTGTCTGTGCCTTCGTATTTTGACGGAAGCAACTATGTCTATTGGAAGGTTAGAATGCGTACTTTTCTTAAGTCCCTAGATGAACGTGTCTAGGTGAGTGTACAAAATGGTTGGAAACCTCCTTCCAGAACTGTGTCGGGTGTTGTAACCCCAACTGACATTTTCCTTTGGACTAAGGATGAATTGGCTGAATTAAGGATGAATTGGCTGAATGCAACTGGAATAGTAAAGGTCTCCATGCATTATTTATGTCTGTGTCTCTTGAAGAGTTTAGGAGAGTGTCAATGTACGAAACTGCTAAAGAGGTATGGTACATTCTAGAGACAACGCATAAGGGAACTAAAACTGTGAAAAATTCTAAGTTGTAAATGCTGGCCTCAAGGTATAAAGAAATCAGGATGAAGGATGATGAGTTTTTGATGAGTTCTATGCCAAATTGAATGAGATTGTTAACTCTAGTTTCAACCTAGGTAAGAGGATTCCCGAGTCCAAAATTGTGAGGAAGGTTCTTAGGTCCTTGCCCGAGAGATTTAGACCTAAAGTTACAGCTATTGAAGAAAGAAAGGACCTGGACACAGTTAAAATAGAAGAACTCGTAGGATCCCTTCAAATCGATGAACTCACCATTTCATTACCGAGGAAAAACAAGTCCATAGCCTTGAACACTGTTAGGGAAGAAAAGTCTGAGTCATCTGACGTAGAAACTCTTAGAGATGAGGAGATTGCCTACTTTGTGAAGAAATTTCAGAAAGTCTTAAAGGGCAAGAAATGGTCCCAAGAGAAAAAGAGAGGAGCCCCTAGTAAATTAGAAAGAGAGAAGAATGATAAATCAACTGCTAGGAATCCTGGTAAGAAATCTCAAGTGGTTAGGTGTCATGAGTGTCAGGGATTTGGGCACTATAGGAATAAATGTCCTAGTTTTAAGAACAATCTAAAGAAGGGAAGGAGCAAGGCATTAGCTGTGTCCTTGACTGATGATGATTCTAACTCAAGTGAACAAAGTGATTCTTCAAGCAGTGAAGAGGAAAAGGGCTATATGGCTTTTGTATCTATTGTCAAGAGCGAGTCAGATAAGGAGAGTGAGAAGGTTGAGGAGGAGGTAGAGAGTAACAAGTCCGGTGATGATTCTAAGGATGAGACGGATATACATGAGGCTTATCAACTTCTGTTTAAGGAAAGTCTCAAGATCCAAAAGGTAAATAAAGCCCTATTTAAGAGGGTAGACGAGCTTGAGAGAGAGAAGGAGAAAATCACTAATGATCTTCAAATCTCATCTAAGAATCTTAGTGAGTTGAAGTGTGTAAATGAAAAATTAGAGGATAGGGTTAAGACATTAACTTGTGAGTTAGAGAAATCCATTACTCAACTGCAGTCATTTGTGAGTGGAACTAAGAAACTAGACGATCTGTTAGGAATGAACAAATCAGCTGGAAATAGGCAAGGTCTAGGATTTGTGAAGAGTGATGGCAAAGTGTCTAGTTTGTCCAAGACCACATTTCTCCCCGCTTCCAACAGATCTAATATTTCAACCAATCCAAAATCCAAAGACAAGAATTTCACTGGACTGAAGGCCATTAGAGCCCATAAGATTTCTACACCTAAATTTCAGGATCAACATTCACGTGCATCTGAACCTAGGTTCATACCCACTTGTCATCACTGTGGTGCTTTAGGTCACACGAGACCTAGATATCGAAAGCTAGCAAATAGGAATAGAAGTCAGAATATCCCTAGTCAAGTAAACTTCCTTTCAAATCAGGTTAGTCACTTAACTGAGATGGTAACAAGGTTGACTAGGATCACCTCGACCTCTAGAAAAGTTTGGGTAAAGAAATCTGATGTGGGTGAGTATATTGAGAATCTAAAATAGTTTGTTGCTCATGGAGCATATAAGACTCAAAATACATGCATGTGGTATCTTGATAGTGCTTGTTCTAAACACATGTGTGGTAACAAGGCCTTATTCTCTACTTTTGATGACTGCAACAGTGGTGTAGTTACCTTTGGGGACGGAGCTACGGCACCCATTCGAGGTAAAGGCTCCATCACCATTTCTGGACTTCCTACAATATCTAATGTGCTTTACGTAGAGGGTCTTAAGTCCAACTTGTTGAGTATTAGTCAAATCTGTGATGCTGACTATGAAGTGAGTTTTGTCCAAAAGAGATGCACTGTTTATAACCCTTCAGGTGGTATTGTTCTTAAAGGTGTTAGAACATTTGATAACTGTTATGGAGTTCTCCCAAACTCGAACTATGTTTGCAGTAGTGCTAAAATTGATATGTCTGAACTTTGGCATCAAAGGCTCGATCATGTTAATTACAGAAGTCTGTCTAAATTGGTCAAAAAGAAGATTGTTGATGGCTTACCTAAGATTGATCAAAGTGAAAATGCTGTGTGCAAGCCGTGAAGGAAAGCAACTCAGGATAAACCATAAGTGAATCTCGAAAATCTTGACAAATGGACCCTTAGAGATTCTCCATATGGATTTAATGGGACTATCTAGAGTGGAGAGCCTAGGAGGCAAATGATATATTCTAGTTGTGGTAGATGACATTTTTAGATACACCTGGATTGAACCGTTAAGAGAAAAATCTGAGAAGGGTGATCTGGTTAAGTCTTTATGTAAAAGACTCAGAATTGAACAAAATCTTTCCATTTCTAGGGTTCGAAGTGATCATGAGAAAGAATTTGAAAACTTCAATCTAGAAAACTTCTGTTTGGAGGAGGGGATTAATCATGAGTTCTCCTCACCAATCACTCTACAGCAAAATGGAGTTGTTGAGAGGAAGAATATAGTGCTTCAAGAAATGGCTAAGGACATGCTTCACGGCAAGGATCTAGCCATGCATTTCTGGGGTGAAGCCATTAACACCACGTGCCACATAATAAATAGGGTATACCTGAGACCGAAAATAGACAAGACTCCCTATGAAATCTAGAAAGACAAGAAGCTTACTGTTAAATACTTTCGTGTGTTTGGCAGCAAGTGTTACATTCTGAGGGATAGAGAAAATTTAGGCAAGTTTGATTCCAAAAGTGATGATGGGGTTTTTCTAGGATATTCTAAGAATGGTAGAGCCTACCGAGTTTACAACTTGCGTACTCAGAGTGTCTTGAAATCTGTAATTGTTGTTATTGATGACGCCTTTACCAAGGGAGAGAGTGCTGAAAATGAGGTTGACATAGAAGATTTAAGTGATGATCAAGGAGCCACTGCTGAAAATAAAGAGCAATCAATTCCAAAATCTCCACGCTCCTTTGAAAACATCTCTGATTAGGGTCTACCAAATTGTGATCAGTCTAAGTTTCCTAGAGAACCATCTTCCAGGGTTAAATCTAATCATACTAAGATTAACATCATTGGAGATTTAGATGAAGGTATGAGGTTACGAAAGAGAGTTCTAAATAACCTAACATAGACTAGCTATGTATCCCAGATTGAACCTAAAAAAGTAGAGGAAGCCCTAAGAGATGAATGCTGGGTGAATGCCATGCATGAGGAGCTTAATCAATTTGTTCGAAATAATGTCTGGTATCTAGTTCCTAAGCCTAATGATTGTAATGTGATAGGTACTAAGTGGATTTTCAAGAACAAAACTGATGACCAAGGTACCATAACTAGAGATAAGACTAGACTAGTTGCCCAGGGGTACACTCAGGTTGAAGGGTTAGATTTTGATGAGACTTTTGACCCTGTTGCTCGTCTTGAGTCCATTCACATTCTTCTTGCGGTTGCATATACCTTAGGGTTCAAGATATCAAATGGATGTCAAGAGTGCATTCTTAAATGGAATACTTCAAGAAGAGGCGTATGTTGAACAGCCGAAAGGATTCATTGACCCTAAGTTTCCTCATTATGTCTACAAACTCAATAAAGCACTGTATGGTCTGAAATAAGGTCCTAGAGCTTGGTATGATAGACTCACCACTTATCTCGTTAAGCACGGGTTCTCACGAGGTGGTGCTGATAGAACCTTATTTATTAGACATATTGAAGAAACTATAATTGTAGCTCAGATCTATGTTGATGACATCATCTTTGACTCTCCCATTGACTCTCTTGCTCTTGAATTTGCTGAATGCATGAAACAAGAATTTGAAATGAGTATGGTAGGAGAGCTAAGTTACTTCCTCGGTCTTCAAGTGAAGCAAACTGATTGTGGGCTGTTTATCTCTCAATCAAAATATGCCAAAGACCTTGTGAAGAGATATGACTTGGACGGTAAGAAACACACAAGGACACCCATGAGCACAAGTGTTAAGTTAGGACATGATCCTATAGGTAAGAGTGTTGATCAGACTGTGTATAGGAGCATGATAAGCAGTCTACTATACCTTATAGCCAGTAGACCTGACATAGCGTTTAGTGTTGGAGTATGTGCTAGCTTTCAAGCTGATCCTAGGAGTCCCATCTAAGTGTGGTGAGGCGCATTATTAGATATGTCAATGGGACAGTAAATCATGGGATCTTGTATTACAGAGAGTCCAATCTTGAACTAGCCGGCTATTATGATGCCGATTGGGCCGGAAACATCGATGATAGAAAGAGTACCTCAGGTGGATGTTTCTATGTTGGTTCTAATCTTGTCTCATCGATCAGTAAGAAACAAAACTCAAGCTCGTTGTCCACAGCCGAGGTAGAATACATTGCAGCTGGTAGCTGTTGCACTCAACTGCTTTGGATGAAGCAAATGCTTCTGTGACAATACCAGTGCTATCAACATATCAAAAAATCCTGTTCAGCATTCTAGGACCAAACACATTGACATTCGTCGTCACTTTATTCGAGAGCTAGTTGAGTCCAATGTGGTATCACTTGAACACATCTCTACTGAAAATCAACTTGCCGATCTGTTCACTAAACTTCTAGATGGGTTGAGATTCGAGTCACTTAGGAAGGCTGTTGGCATCTGTGTTCCTCCTTGATCATCTTCATAGATGCATGCGTGTTTAGTTTATTTCAGTAATTCATTTTTGCATTGATTACACTGCTTATTTGTGTTCATTTGCATCTATCTTTCATTTTGGATTTTAATAAATAAAAAAAATTAGGATTAGGGCTGGACGTGGTCCGGTTCGGTTCGGTTCCCCTTAAGAACCAAACCGTACCTGAAAAGTAATTGGAACCATCGGGTCCAAATTTAAGTATGGAACCGTTTGGGTTTCGTTCGATTCGATTCTATTCGGGTCCGTACCATAATTACATTTTTTAATATTTACAACGCCACATAAATACAACTAATAACATGTTGAATCATAGCTTTTACAAATTAACGAAGTCCCATTAAAAAAAATATAAATAACAAGTTGTCCAATAATATTAATTTACCAATGTATACATATACCAAAAAGTAGATACTAGTACTAAAAAAGAGGTAGGACCGTATGTAGTGTACTATGTAGTTTATTTAGGGTTGGATACTTGGATTTAGTGGGCTAGACATTAGAGATTTAGAGTTGGGCTAAAATGGGCTAAAAATGGAAGAATAAAATGTGCTTGAATGCTTGATGTTGGGTTAAAAAAAATTTTAAAATGAAACAAATAATTGGGCCAAAAAATTAGATTTAGAAAAAATTAAAATAATTTGATTTATTCAATATAAAAAAATAAGGAAAATTCGGTTCTTATTCGGTTCTTTGGTTCTTGGTCTAGAATCGAGAACCGAACCGTACCCGTCGGTTCTTGATTCGGGTACCCATTCGGGTATTTAACTTAAGAAGAACCTCAGGTTTGGTTCAGTTCGGTTCGAGAGTTTTGTCCGGCCCTAATTAGGATTGATCATCACGTGTCATTTTTGTATTGTAGTTGTTCACTCGGACTTGCAATTTGGGATCAAATGTGCATTCAACACATGATTAGTTTCTAATTCCCATCACTTATATTGAGTATGTATGGAGTACTTAGTATATGTCACTTCATATTATATCTACACAGCAAACACTAGGACCGTGTGAGTGAGTCTTGACCGTATGTGTGAGACTTGGGATGACTATCATCTGTCGTTGAGTTGACATTGGGTTTGAATTGATCTTGGACTAGACAACTTAACTTCTGGTGTACCCCCAAGTGATTCAAAAGAGTATTTATTGTATCACATCTTATACCTATCTTCGGAGCCTAGTTGAATCAAGCAATTAAGTTTGAGGGATTTCTCATAACCTAGTGCCTTAAAGCGAACTGGCTTGGGAGTCACCGACCTAACACTCTTTACAGGGGTCTTCTTAGTAGTTTAATGGAGATGAGATTGCACATAAGATAAAAAAAAACTAAAAAAATAAAAAAAATGGAAGTCCTTAATGACAGGGGGAGAAAGAACAGTTTTACACCATATTTTAATGAATTATAGGTCCTAGTGGTATTGGATTTGACCTACAAACATCTGGGTGTTGACTCCTACATCAGTGATTTGGCGTCTCTTCTCACAAATTTAAGATTTTGAGTTTTACTTGCATGAAATGAGTGGCACGTTTCACGTAGGGTCACATATAGATTTTACTCCATCTGTACTTGGTCCCGATGTGGAGAGAAACATTTTCTAATCATTGCTTATGCATTATTTGTGATGTGCATAATTCATATATTAAAAAAAAAAATTTGGGGTCAAAATTCAAATTTCTGGAAAAGGTGCTATTTTTGAAAGTTTCTATAGTGATGTTACTTTGCAAAGTTTTAAACATGGGGCTAGATTTTTAAATTTTCAAAATTCAGTGCTATTTTTGACATTTCACCCTTCGCTCGCTTGCCGTTGGCAGATCGCTCGAGCAACGAAAGCAGTGTGCTTGTCGCTCGAGTCTCGCTCGAGCGTTAGCGAGAATTTTACTTTTCTCGCGAAGGGTTCCACTTCATTTTTTTTTAATTTTTCACATATCTCTCAAATTTCCTCTCACGAATGATGTCCTTGGTCGATTTGCACTTCAATCATTGCGTGTGGGGCTTCAATCATCTTTCTTGTGTTCACTTCATTAGTTTTTCTTCGTTCCAAATCGGTAAGTGCATCACTTGACATAATTTTTTCACAATTTGGGGATTTTGATTTTTCCACTTCATTTTGCTTAACTCACTTCATTCATTCTGCATTGTGTTGTGTGGTTGGTGATTTCTTCATTTGTTGTCGCATTTTTTTTTCTTTGTTCTTTGTATTTTAGTTGTGATTAACGCATACATTTTTTTTGTGTCGTCCATTGTGGGTCTTGTGTCAAGCGATTGGGATTTTCTTAGATGCTAGGTAGATAGGGTTGTTAAGGAATGTTGGGTGTCTATTGGGTTATTACAATTGTAGTTGAATTTCCTTGCATTTCGAATGCCTACAACGTGTTCGATGAAACGTTTCATCCCCACTTCACTACTTTCTTTGCCCATTGTGTGTCATTCATCTCGTGTGCTTGATGTCTGGACCCTAGCTATATCATTTTTGTCCCTATTTTTGAGTCGGCACTTATTGGTTTTGGAGTTGCCAATCATACTTACCGTGAGTTCCTTCCATCCTGCAGCCATTCCTGTTTACGTCTAGGCCACATCACTTACGTCTTGCATTGTCCTCCGGCTGCAGTGACATGTGTTACCTCTGGCTTGCATGATTGCCACTTGTGCACCACTCTTGCATCAGTTTTCATGCCTGCATGTGGTTAAACTTTAGGACTTGTGCATTCATCTGTCTCCGTCAATTAGTTTTCCTTGAGGATTGATGTGTCTTCTACATCTCACATTGCAGATGGCACCTAAGAGGGCTAGGACTACAGCTCAACCTGGTAGTGGATCGACTTCATTTAGTCGATCTAGGTTCATTTTCTCTACTGCTCAAGAGGTATTTAGGAGTCAGTTTCCCTTCGTCCTTTCTAGTAGAGCGTGAGGTTATTCTATCCGACCTATCCCCTGATCTAACAGCTATCTTTACTTCTCGGGGTTGGGAATCCTTGCTGATTGGGTTAAATCCCCCGCCTAGTCTCCTTGTTAAGGAGTTCTATGCGAACATCCATGACATTAGTGGTTCGTCCTTCAGGGTGTTCTTTCAGGGTCAGACACTTAGGATTTCACCAGATGTTATTTCCAGTTCCATACATGTTCCCTGGGTCATTCACCCCGTTTATCCATATCTCTTAGCTGATTATATTCCGGCCGACTCTCTGGTTCGGTCCACCCTGTTTAATAGTCTATTGGGGGGTGGGCCTGAGGCAATCCGCACTGGTTCACTTCCCACTGATCGACAGATTTTGTTGTGCATTGTGTGCACGAATCTATGGCCCGTCTCTCACACTTCTTCCTTGCCTATGGAGAAGA